ACAGGGGACAACACTAGAGATACAGTGTGGGAATTGCGCCTGAACTGACCAGACCACACTGAGGCAAAACACTAAGGGCGTGCAACAGAACAGCAAGGGGAACAGAGCAACAAAGTCCCCAGTGAATACCAAAGATAGACTTTGGGGCCAGGTCTTGGCACCACATCAGACTCCACTGGAAAACCCCCTAAAGGCCAACAAACAGTCCTTGAACTAACTACAAGTTTTCTTTTTTGTTATTTTTGTGTTCTGTTCTGGTTTTTTTTGTTTTGTTTTGTCATGTCATTGGCTTTTTGTTGTTGTTGTTGTTCTGTTTTCTTTTGTTGCTTGGTTTTGCTCTGTCTTGTTTTTGTGCATGTTATTACCTCTGCAGGTCTGTCTAAATAAGATAGGCTGGATGAACTATCTGCAGGAAAAACAATGGACCGACAGTTCCAGGGGGACATGGCAGAGGGGGAAGTGGGGGGAAACGTAGTGGTGTTAACAAACCCAGGGACAAGGGAACAACAAGTGATCCAAATCGGTGGTGCAGAGGGTGTAGGAGGCCTAGTGGGGCGTGACCAAGGGTAATATAACTGAGAGGAATTACTGAAACCCAAATGAAGACTGAGCATGATAGTGGGACAAGAGGAAAGTCAAAGGAAATAGAGGAAAGCGCTAGGAGGTAAAGGGCATTTATACAGGCCTAAATAGGGACATGTACATATGTAAATATATTTATATACGAGGATGGGGAAATCGATTTATGTGCATATATTTATAGGTTTAGTATCAAGGTAGCAGATGCACATTGGGCCTCCACTCAAGTATTTCCTCAATACTTTGTTCTATTAAACTGGCATTCCATAGTGCTCACCTTCCCAACATGATCACTGAAGACAAACGGGTGCATAAGCAAATATGGTGAAGAAAGCTGATGAAGCCCAGCTATCAAACGATATAGCATCTGGGGTCTTAAAAGCTGTAAGGTAAACAAGCGGCCATCTAGCTCAGAAGCAACAAAGCCCACATGGAAGAAACACACCAGCCTGTGTGATTACAAGGTGCCAAAGGGATCAGTTATCAGGCATCAAAGAACAAAAAATCATGTCATTGTGAATGAGGGTGAGTGCGGAGTGAGGACCCAAAGGCCATCTGTAGGCAACTGGACATCCCCTTGAAGAAGGGTAACGGGGAGAAGAGCCAGTCAGGGTGCAGTGTAGCAACAATGAAACATACAACTTTCCTCTAGTTCCTAAATGCTTCCTTTTCACCCATTATCATGATTCCAATTCTACCTTACAAATCTGGCTAGATCAGGGGATGTACACTGGTACAAATAGGAACTGGAAACACAGGGAATCCAGGGCAGGTGATCCCTTCAGGACCAGTGGTGAGAGTGGAAATACCGGGAGGGTGAAGGGAGGGTGGGGTAGAGAGGGGAACCGATTATAAGGATCTACATATAACCTCCTCTCTGAGGGAAGGACAGTGGAGGAGTGGGTGAGGGGAGACAGTGGACAGGGCAAGATATGACAAAATAATAATTTATAAGTTATCAAGGGTTCATGAGGGAGAGGAGAGCAGGGAGGGAGTGGGGGAATGTGGAGCTGATGCCAGGAGCTTACGTTAGAGAGCAAATATTTTGGGATTGATAAGGGTAATGAATGTACAAATGTGCTTTATACAATTGATGCATGTATGGATTGTGATAAGAGTTGTATGAGCCCCCAATAAAACGATTAAAATTTTTTTTCTAAAAAGTGTCATAAATTCTGTCACTTTTGTAAAGGTGAGCACTTTAAACAGTCGACTGTTTTCTCAACTGTGCAACAAGTCGGATGCACCGAATAATGCTCTGCTATTTCACACTGAAGTAAGATGGTTGTTGAGAGGAAACACTTCAAAATGTGTTTTTGAGCTTCATAGTAAACTCAAAATGTTTTTTAATCAGAAAGTAAGACCGCAGTTCGAAGCACTTTTCAGTGATGAAAGTAAAATGCAAAAAATAAGCTTACTTGGTTGACATCTTTGCCATCTTGCATGAGTTAAATTTATCACTGCAAGGACCAAATGCAACATGCTTCAATTTGTCTGAAAAGATCCGATTATTCCAAATAAAACTTCAGCTTTGGCCAAAAAATTGGATGAAAATAAAATGTACATGTTGCCTACCTTATCTCCCTTCTTTGAGGAACATGACATTGAACTAAACACAAGAATTATGATGACAATTTCTGTGAAAGAACACTTGCACATGCTTGCAGATGAAATTTCATAGTACTTTCCAAATCTACCTGACACCCATTTGCACCTGCCAGAAGCCCGTTCACAAAGTTGAAGATGTTCCCGAGACGGCACAAACGGAGGTCATTGAACTTATTAACAGCGATGCAGCAAGAACTGATCTCTCTACAATGCCAGTTACAAAATTCTGGATCCTGTTTTGTCTGAGACTGTGTTGTGCCTTCTTCTTCCATTTCCAACAACATATCTTTGTGAAACAGGGTTTTCCAGCTTTTTGATTGTGAAGTCTAACTACAGAAGTAGACTGGTTATGGAAGATGATTTTCATTGTGCTCTTGCAAAGACTGCCCTGAGAATTTCTGATCTGGTGAGAAAGCCATCTTAACCTTCGCACTGACGTTGGCTTTTTACTCATATTGTCTCAAAATGTAGCAATGTAGTTTACTGTTGTAATATTAAGACTGTTACCCAGGCTACACCATGCTTCAAGACAACATTTCTTTTATTTATAATTAGAAATAAATAGTTCACAATATATAATAACATAGTTTGTGTGATTAATCACAAAAGAATTATGTTCAATTTGTAACAATGAAAATACATCCTGCATATCAGATATTTACATTACGATTGATAACGGTAGCAAATTACAGTTATAAAGTAGCAACGAAACTAATTTTACGGTTGGGGGTCACCACAACATGAGGAACTGTATTAAAGGGTCGCGGCATTAGGAAGGTTGAGAATTACTGTCTTAAAGGCTTGAAGATAAATAAGCAGCCATCTAGCTGAGAAGCAACAAAGCCCACATGGAAGAAGCATGACAGCCTTTGTGATCATGAGGTGGGTGTCGATGAGATCAGGTATCAGTCATCAAAAACCCAGAATCAAAAATTGTATCAATGTGATTGAGGGGGAGTGCAGCGGAGTGGAAACCCAAAGCCTATCTGTAGACCATTGGACATCCCCTTACAGAAGGATCCCAAGGAAGAGACGAGCCAGTCAGGCTGCAATATAGCATTGATGAAACATACAACTTTCCTCTAGTTCTTTAATGCTTCGCCCCGCCCCCAGTATCATGACCCCAATTCTACCTCACAAATCAGGCTAGACCAGAGCATGTACATGGGTACAGATAAGAGCTGGAAACACAGGGAATCCAGGACAGATAAACCCCTCAGGACCAATAATGATAGTAACCATCCCAGGAGGGCAAAGGGAAGCTGGGGTAGAAAGGGGGAACTGATGACCCAGATCTACATATAACCCCCTCCCTAGGGGACAGACAACAGAAAAATGGGTGAAGGGAGACATCGGTCAGTGTAAGACATGAAAAAAATTTTTAATTAATTATCAAGGGTTCATGAGGAAGTAAAGGTGGGAGAGGGAGGTAAATGAGCTAATACCACGGGCTCAAGTAGAGAGAAAATATTTTGAGAATGATGAGGGCAACAACTGTACACATGTGCTTGACACGATGTATGTATGTATGTATGTATTGGGATAAGAGTTGTATGATTTTCTTCAAAAAAAAAGATTCCCTAGGGGGAATCAAAGTAATCCACTCTTTAATGAGTAGAGGACTTACTCAGTCCAGGGAGGGGCCACCTACCCCTTAGGACCCTGCCTGAGTGTGGCCTTAGTAGAAATTGGGCTGCTAAGTTGTTAGGTCATGACATGCCTGTCAGGTCAGAGGACCTTGAACCAGTCCTGAAAGCTCTTTTGTCCAGCAATCTTGGTGTCCCAATCATGATCCCTTTCAGTATTTTTTAAAAATCATTTTATTAGGGGCTTGTACAGCTCTTATCACAATGCATCCGTGTCCAGCACATTTGTTGCCCTCATCATTCTCAAAACATTTGCTCTCCACGTGAGCCCTTAGTATCAGCATCTCATTTTCCCCCTCCCTCCCCGCTCCCCTCTCCCTCGTAAACCCCACTATGGAATCCCTAATTCGGTCTTTAATGCTTCAGGCAAGGCCATTCATGCTGCAGGTAACACGGTCAGAAAAAAATTCAATGGAGGCTCAATGTAGATTTAGGACTGGAATGGATTTGGGGCTTTTACTGTAAACCATGGTCTTCCACTAATTCAGAAATTTAAGCTCTCATATGGTTAAAGAAACGAGCACTCGGGTTTGTTTCCTGAACATGACATGCTTGCTTACATTTTAGGATGTTGGTCCTCCTTTTAATTAAATCAAACAGCAAATTGGATCCAAGTCACGGCCAGTCCTACTAACTTATCTCCCAAGGAAGAGATCCCATCACTCAACCACTAAACAAAACACAGGTTGGCTACGGTATGTGGAGTTGATCGAAATGGGGTCAAAAGCAGCCAGGGTGTGCCTCTACGCATAGCATTTGTGCATCGCTGTAGAAGGTGAGCCGTCGGTGTCATGTGCGCCTGCGCAGCAGCGCAGGTGCGCCGAGAAACAGCTAACTGCAATCGTCGACTCGAGAGCTTCAGGTTCTTCGGTTGGCGAGCCGCCGTTTCGATTCCGAGCACCTAGAATCTAAACCTGACAGGTAATCTGCCACGCCCTTGCCTCCTCCCACCCCGAGCTCTTCACTAGTTCCAATATCGTCAGGCCTCACGTCACGGCCTGCGGATAGCCGCTTGGCCACACCCCTCAACATACTAGGCCGCATCTCATTGGTGAGTAAAGGGATTAGTCCCGCCCCTGGCGCTGACGCCAGCCGCCACGTATCGCGTTTTTACGTGTCTCCGGCCTCAGAGCGGAAGTTACTCCAGGAACTCCCGAGAGAAAGACAGATCCGCGCAGATCTTCGCTGTCCCGGGAAAGTGGGAAGGCGTACGGCATTGGAAGGCGCCGGAAGTGGTCGCACTCAGCAGTGGTGGGAGCGGGATTGGCGAGCCGCTTCTCTCGGCGATACGGCTGGGCGCCTCGGTTAGGCTCGGTCGGCCTTTTCCGGGAGCCTGCCCCTGTCTGCCCCCTCGGCCAACATGGATTTCAGGGAAATTCTCATGATCGCTTCCAAAGGACAAGGTGTCAACAATGTGCCGGTAAGTCCATCATCGAGCTGGGGCTGAGACCTCGGTCTCCCCACTGCGTGCGCGAGTGTGAGAGACCCCAGTTGTCAAGTTCGAAATATGTGGCCCACGATGGAACTTCCAGGCCCGTTTGTCCCGAAAGAGGAAAGAGCCGGACTCCTTCACTGTTTTCCTGGCGCTTACACTGCTCCGAGTTCAGGGTCGATGGGGGGCTTGCTGGAGTCTGGAGACCGGAGCCCTGTTAGTGGGTCTCTGCGGCTAAGTTACTCTGGCAACGTGGACTTTAGCTGTTGAGTGTTTTAGTTAGAGTTGCACGAAAGGTGGTGAGTGGAGCTGGGCCTGACACTCATTGTAATCTAGCGCAGAGAATTTCTGGTTTCGGCGTAGATTTCAGCCCAAAGGTTAGCGATGGGAAGCTGGAACCATGAATGTGTAGGGTAGATGAAGAGTTTCAACGACTTGGCCTGATGGACTTTTTTTGCTGGTTTTCTCACTCATCTTGGGATCAAATTTTTAGTTCTTTTATCCCGCCTCCCCCTACCCCACCCCCTAAGCTGAGTTACACTTTATTTAATGTAATTTCAAAAAGGATGTGTCTGGAAGTAATGTTGCTGGGTTTACGTGCTGGAAAAATTGACGCTAAGATTTTTGCGTGGAATAGGTGGGATTTTTAAAGTGATTTCTCGGGTGCACTGTATGATGTATCCCATCATACCAATCAAAAGGGTGATTGAATTATCGCCTGGTTAAAAAGGAGATTGCCTTTTGTATTAGGAAGAGAAGTTGAGCTAATTCCAGAAAAATCTTTGGCCACCATCAGCAAAGTATCAGCTTCCCTTTACTTCTGGCCTTCCATGTTGTAGACTGAAATCTAGATCCCATTTACTCAGTAGGTGTTTGCCAGTCCCCTGCGCTACAGATAACATCGAAAGACTAAATTTCAAGTGACTGCTAGTGGTGGAGAGCACTTGGCCTACAGGGATATGGCTTTTTTGCATAAACGAATCATTTCTGGTACCCACAGCACAGCTGTGAACCATGAATTGCATTGTGATACTTTTGGTTTGAGTATGAGGGGTGGAACTCAAATCGCTCTTGTTGAAATCCATTCAGCTGGAAACTGTTAAGCTCTCACAAGGTGCCCTGTGTTTCTTACATATTTGTGTATCGTAATGTTAATTCACCCCACCCCACCACCACCCCCCGTTGGCATTTTGTCTTCTGAGAATAGCTTCTTTTTTTTACCCCTTGGAAAATATTGAAAAATAATTTTATGAGCCAGGAAACTCCAAACTCACTGCTATTGAGTCTATTTCAGCTCATGGCAATTCCTTTATTATACCAAAAGAATAAACCAAACCTGCTGTCATCAAGTTGACTTTGACTCATAAGGGCCCTCCGTGTAGGACAGTAGAACTGCTCCCTAAGTCTTCAATCTGTGAGTGGAGACCCCTTTGGGGGGGGTTGTCGAATGACCCTTTCACAGGGGTCGCCAAAATTACAGTTAGGAAGTAGCAACAAAAATAATGTTATGGTTGGGGGAGTCACCACCACATGAGGAATCGTCTCAAAGGGTCTTGGCATGAGGAAGGTTGAGAACCACTGCTCTACATCACATGGAGCAGCTGGTGGGTTGCAACCATGGACCTTTCAAATAGCAGTTGAGGGCCTTAAACCCATGCATCACCAGGGCTCTTTAGTCATCCCTAATCCCAAGTACTGTAAGAAGTCTTTCCCTTAAACCATGAGTCATAAGTTCTGCAGGTTGAAGCTATGGGAATCAGATCTTTGTCACCTGCAACAACAGAATTAGTTTCTGCATCTGTAAATATTCTAGGTAAGTCGATATTGGATGTGGTGATCACTCCTCTTTGCATAATTCCATCCATCCTAGAGCTTCCCGAGTTTCAGTGGAGGTCAAGCACAGATACTCCTAGCATTGCTGCACAGGAGTCTCCTGTGGGAGAATCACAACTTTATAAAAGGGTGCTTCCCCTGTCTCCCCAGCTGTCAAAGAAGCTAGCAAGCCCAGACCAGCATTTGGCTTATTTGTCCATTTAAGACACGTGTAGGACAGTCACAACAGGACATTTTGAGGAATAGGGCAGGAATTGTAGTTAGATTAGGTGGTTAAATTTAATCCAACATATTGTTCCAACTCTGTTGATGCAATTATCTAAGCTGGCTTTTTGTTTCTTCCAACTCTAAGGAAGGCTTTTAGAATAATCTCAATGTAAGCAGTGTGTACCAGAGGGCTTCAGAAAGTTCATGGAGAAATTCCGTTGCCTTTTAATCCCTTTTCCCCTCAGAGAAAGCCCAGGAAAACGGCTTCCTTTCTTCAGTAGTTTTCCTTTTTTTTCAAGATGGGCAGAGGCACATTCTTATGAAATACATTGTGTTGCAAACAATATAAAATATTAATAAATCCCTGTGTGCCCACACCCTATACTTGACATCTATTATTAACATTTTACCATATCCATATATTTTTAGAAGAGCTAATTCCTACTGGATTCAGTTGAAGATTCTCCCAATCCACTTTTTTAAAATTATCAGATGTAAGCATAAATGTAAAGACTATACAGAGTAACAGAATATTACAAGCTCTATAACCACCACACAGGTCAAAAATCAACCTTGCCAATGGCCTTCCATTCCTCACATACACATACACTGCTTAGCATAGACTCTGCTGACTGGTTGTGTGAAGATGACTGGCCTAGGTCTGAATTAAAGCTCCACTTAAAAACTTAAATTTTAGCTGGTCCTAAATTCTCCTTTCTGCTTTACCAGGAATAAAACACCCACTGCCATTGAGTTGACTCAAGCTTATAGCAACCCCATATAGGGTTTCTGAGACTGTAAGTCTTTATGGGTGCAGACAGCCTTGTCTTTCTCCCACGGAACCACTGGTCTTGTGGGTAACAGCACCATACCTAACCTACAGCAGCACCACAGCTCCTGAAAGTATTGCTACAAAGAGAGCCTGTAATTTAGAGTCTGGCCTATAACTTCTGGTAAAACATTAACCTCCCTCAGCAAACAACAGAGGCAAGGATGTGATTTATGAACAAGTCTTCCAAGAATGGTCTTGGGGGGAATGCTTGTGCTGTGTGTCCCCGGAAGAGTATAAATGTAGATATTTCGAAACATCACTTACTATGGTAACTTGAAGTCTATGGTGGAAAGATGGCTAGCCTTATAAAACTTTAACTTGCTAGTGCCTTATACAGGAGCCCTGGTGGCATTGTGGGTTACACATCGGGCTCCTAACCATAAGGTCAGCAGTTCAAAACCACCAGCCACTCCATGGAAGAAAACTAAAGCTTTTTATGTTCATACAGTGTTATAGTCTTGGAAACCCACAAGGACAGTTCGTTCTACCCTGTCCCACAGGGTCACTATCAGTCAGGATTGACTCCGTGGCAGTGAGTTTGGTTTAGGAGTGTAGTCTTATATGGGAGAAAGATGAGGCTTTCCACTCTCGTAAAGATTTACAGAATTGGAACTCACAGGAGCAGCTCTACTGCCCTACAGGTTTGCCATCCACTTAATGGCAGTGAATTTGAGTATATTGCCTTTTAACCACATATAATTCAAAATTCCATGACTGTGGTGGTGTTGTTTTTTCTGTAAAAAAAAAAAAAGCTCACCTCTCCCTCAAAATGTTGGAACTCTATGTGAGTTGCAATGTGTTGTCTGGCTGAAACTGTATCCATCCACCAACCAGTAACATACTTTGCTTTCACTTGTGAGAATCTAAGTTGGGTCCCGGGAAGTTGGTGGTTTGGGAAGCACAGAGGTTTTGTAGTAGTGCGCTACCATGGCTATAGCCTTCCAGTGGGAGACCAGAACTTGGTTTAGCCTTTGGTCTTTGGTTTCTGAAAACAGCCAGGCAGTACTTAAAAGTTGCCTTTGAGTGGATCAGAGTGGATTCTGATTCGATCCTCTGAGGCCTTAAATCTTTGCAGAAGCAGATAACCTCCTTCTCCTGCAGAGCCGCTGGTGGGTTTGAGCCCTTGAGCTTGTGGCTAGCAGGCCAGTGCTTACCAAGCAGTGCCACCAGGGCTCCTGGGCAGCACTTCACCATGTATGATTCGGGTAGGGCTGCACAGGCGCCACAACAACCCCCCAAAAGGAGGGGAGTGCGATGGAATCATTGGTTTATGTGTGTGTATTGAAGCTCCAGTTGTGTGTACATTGAGGTCCTAGGGACTTATAAGGAAGTCTGGGCTTTAAAGATCTCTTTTGTTTGTTTGTTTTCCCGTGGTATGACCTCCTGCTTGGAACTCTCCCCTATCTGGCTTGATGGGTAGCTGCAAGAATAGATAATAGTCTCTTTGGGGGAAAAAATAGTCTCTTTGAATTTTGTATGTCTTTCAGAGAATTAACAAACCAACACGGGGCATAAATGATGCTAATTCAGAGGAGGGATGAGGGGGGCTGTGCAGGCAGTCTCAAGGACAGAGTCCTACTAATGTGGGGAGCTTTGGGTGGCTGGGTGACACGGCTATGTGGACAGCGTTGGAAAAGGATAGTTTTAGCTGGTGACCTCGCGTCAGGGTTTCACTTAAAGGTGGCAGCTGGATTCGTGCTGCTTCTTGGGCAATTAGTCGTGAAGGCGGGGCTTGCCCTTTGCCTGTGCAGCCCACAGTGCAGATTAATCTTCCCGTTTCAGTCATGCTCTTCCGTCACCTTCCATTTGGACCCTACCAGATTTCAGTCCACAAAGAGCAGGGCTTTGTTCAAGGAAATCCGGTGACTAGCTGGCATTGATGAGACGAAAATAATAACGTAGAGGAGGCTGAGGTCCGTCACTCCTGTGCACTCTGCAGAGCTTGATTTAAAAGATGTTGGTCATCGCCCCTTGAAAAGGAGTACGCAGCATTTCCTTTGAAAAGAAAGGCCATTTTAGAATGTTTCTGTCAAAATTAAAGTAGGATTGCATCATATCTGGAAACATTAGACACACAGTCATTTCCCGGTGGAAAACTGAATACACAATAACAGCT